CATGCTTATTACTCATTAGTTACATTTACCAACAGGTCTATACTTTAGTCTAAAAATAGCAGTTGCTTTACAAAGAAATTGTTAATACTGAGAGCCGTTGCTTGTCACTTGTTCCATTATTAAACACACATACACACAACATTATGACATAGGAGTCTATTTTGGACATACAAAATAGAACTCATCCTAGAAGCCACTTAATAAAATCCTTAGGGCAAATGAGTATATTTGAAGACCTGGTTACCTCAGAAGATCATCATTCTCTTGAATATGTTCTTTTGGCAATTGAGATCATCTCCAGTTACTGATTCTCGGCTTTATGCTTCAGGGAATTTATGATAGGTTGTTTTTGTTGAGGGCTTTCTATAATATTCTACCTGCCCTGGACTAAGGAAAGTCCCAGTTAGTGAACTACAAGGCCCTAGGACAAAAATCCTTTCTCCAGTAGCATGCTATTGCTATCTTTATGACTCTATCATTTTCATAGTTTTAAAAAATGTAATCTGAAAGTACAACCTGAGGCTCTAAAGTAATGAAGATAGTAAATGAATAAATAAAATATGCTCCACACCTATCTCTGACACCATTTCAAGAGGAAAAATTCATTTATATCAAAGATTTTAAGTTGAGGCAATAGATTTCTTTTGGTGACTGCTAAGGAAAATACCTTGCTTAAAAATTTCCAAAGTCTTTGTTGTTATTTCACAAACTCAGAAATGTCACAAGCAAATCATATTAACTACTCTCAACAACAAATGTCCTTTTTTTAAAAAAAAGAGAGAGAGAGAGCACAAGGGATGTGCAGAGGAAGGAGAGAAATCTTAAGCAGGCTCCACACTCAGAGTGGAGCCAAAGCAGGGCTCAATCCCACAACCTTGAGATCATGACCTGAGCTGAAATCAAGAGTTGGACGCTCAACCAAATGAGCCACCCAGGCACCCACAACAATAACTGTCTTATCTAATATGACTAACCTATAAGAATTCCTATTCCTCAAAGCTGACTCTAAACAGCACGCCATTATATTTCAGAGAATTGTGTATACCCTCTCATTCTCTTAACTACCATTTTGAATTACATTTTAAAAATTTCAAAAAGGATATAGATTGTGATTTTCTCAAATTACTTCACTTATACATTCCATTATATTTCACTTTGATTTTTAAAATCCTATGATTATATACATACCATTGGAGATAATTTTGTAGTCATAAAAATCATGAATCCAGCTATCTTTCTACAATCAAGAATGCTGGTTCTGGTTAGGACAAGGAAGTGAGTAGATTTCCCACATCATACATGGCCAAAATAAAAACAAAACAAAACAAAACTGAAGCAACTATTAGCAAAGTCATTCCTTTAAAAACTTTTAAATCAGAAATGTACAGATTTGGAACTTTTGGGCTTTAAAATCTAAAGAGAACTTAGCAGTCCCCTAGCTTAGTCTTCTATACAATAAAGGACTTCTTTCTATAATAGAGGCTAGGTTACATGCTGGTGGCCTGAGGACCATGTGCAGCCCATAGGTATAGTCTGTGTGACCTGCACAATTTTGTTCTGTTTTGTTTTCTTTTGTTTTAATTAAGCCAACACACAAAAATCCAGGTCTTTGCCTTGTCTTGAAAATCCACCTGGAGCCGTATGTCTGCTGCCCCTATTGGACGAGTCATGCCATGTCCACTTCTCCACAGTCCTGCCACTTTTGATACACCCACTTCACTCATTCATCATCTGCCTGGTGCTTTAAGCATCTCAACATTTCAGTCAATGACCACTCACTATTCCAGACAGAGGGTTATCCACTCTGTTGCTGAATATCTCCACAAAAGGAGAGGGAGTATACAACTCTGCAAGTTGACTGATTTCACTGTAGGCAACACTAAACATTAGAGAGAATTATCTAGAATATTTTACAAACACAAACTAGTTCTATCCTCAGAAGCAGAGTAAATTTACTCTTTCTTCCACAGAAGAGGCTTCTAGGTATCTGAAGACAACTAACTTGCCTAGGCCTTAATTTGCAGTTTAATGTCTCCAAAGCCCCAGATATTCCTCATAGTAATCTTTGCAAGCTCACCTGTGGCCCCTGAGATGCTTCTCTGCATGGATGAATTCTATTTATGATTTATTTGTTTTAACTCTTACTTGTGTATTCATTTATTATACATTTTAGTTATCAGTGTTCTTCACATGTAATAATGTAATAGTTCCTTGATCTAGATGAGTGGTTCTCAAGCTTTTTGGTCTCAGTATCCCTTTTCATGTTTAAAATTAATTGGAGATCCCAATGAGCTTTAAAGAAAGTTGTATCTATTGGCATTCACTGTATTAGCAACTAACACTAACATTATTAAAAAATATTATATGTATTAGTTCATTTCAAATACATGTTAACATAATGGCATATTTCTATGAAAAATAAACACATTTTCCAAAATAATATCATCTCCCTGCTTTCACCTAAATACAGAACTTATATAAATATTTCGCTGTAGATCCCATTTTGTTGGTTTCAGGTTACTCTTTGGCAGTGGACACTGCTGAGACCCCACCCACCTCCCCTTAAGGCCAGTGTACCCATCCCCACTTAGCTGTTTTGATTGTTGGCTGATAACACAAAGCAGAATACCTAGTAACACCGGAGACACCCTGCTTGGGAAGCTATGTCTACCTCTACTTCATCCAATGAATGACTGACAAGCCAATAATTGTCACAGAGTACAAAAAGACCCATCCCAATGACACAAAGCGGAAGTAAATCTAGGCGTAGTTTGTGCTCCAGAGCTTCCCATGGGGTCAGACCCAAGCTAGTTTCTAGCTGAGAGCACATTCTTCCTTAGCTTTTATCCCTTGTCCTATCCTGCTTCTGTCACTCACCCCCTTCTAAAAGTTATCCCTAACAAATCAGTGAATAAGCACCTCCATCTCAAGCTCTGCTTCTGGTGAACCCAACCTAAGATATCTCTCATCTCACCAAGATTACTGCAATATCGATGCTGTCATACATCAGTTCAACTAACCATCTCAGCTGCGCAGCATCTCAATATGCTAGGCATTCTATTACAGAGCAGTGCACTGGCTCTCAAAATGTGATTGCTGGCCCAGCAGCAGTAGCAGCATTCGGGAACTTTTTAGAACTGCAAACTCTCAGGCCCATTCCAGGCCTACTGAATCACAATTGCCATCACAGAGATGTGCCATAATTAACCAATCCATTATTGTTCTGTATTTCCGCAGTTTCCATTTTTTGCTAATATAAATAATGGTGAAATGAATGTACTTGCAGTTAAATCTCTGTGTACATTTCCAATAATTCTATGAATATTTGTCTTCAATTTACTTTGAGGTAGAAGTATTAAATTGAAAAATAAAATGTACTGATAGATGAATAGAGGGACAGACATGTAATAAAGCAAGCACAGCAAATGTCAATGAAAGACTCTAGGTGAGGAGTATATGGATGTTGACTGCTAAACTCTTGCAACCTTTTCATGTTTGAAATTTGTTAGAAAATGTTGAAAAGATTTCTATTTTATGAGGTTAATTCCTAGAATTGGAATAGATTTTTCGTAGTATGTGCCCGTCTTTAAGCTCTGTGAAGTTAAAACATCAACCAGAAAGTGTCAGTTCCCTCACACTGTCAACACTGCTTTTTAGTTCTTTTCAAATCTCTGCCAACTTGTTAGGCATAAACTGGTAATTCATCTTTTAAATCACCATTTCTGTGTGCATTTTTTAAGTTAATATATAATGAATTGAAAAGCTTCCTAATGCGATGTTGGTTATTTGAACTACGAAGCAGTAATCAGGATTTGAGCGCCTACCCAGGGGCACTTAGCTTATTACCAAGCACAATACCCTCAAGAATAACTTGCAAACTGAATTATATTGGCAAGAGTTACTTCTAGGCCAGTGTCATACACAGGCAGTGGGGAAAGAGAGGTGGGAGTCTAATGCCGGATTGCCAAATGGGTCTGACTTAACAGGTCCTAGGAAATGGTTCTTTCTTCCTTCACAAGAAAATCGTAATCTCGCATTTTACCAGAATGCTCAGAATTCCAAGCATTAGTATTTTCTTCCTTTGTGTTGAGGCAATTAGATTCCCATCAATTCTATTTTAGAATTCAAGTACTTTACTTCAGAATGGGCTCTACAAAATTATGGTGTATCCAAAGGATGAAATGCAATGAAGCCATTTAAAGAACTATGGAATTCTACATTTACTGACATGTAAAGAAGTCTATGATATATTACTTGTGCATTGAAAAAAAAAGAAAAGTATGTACATGTCTGTACGACAGAAAATTTGTGGAAAGATATTTATTATAATAGTGGCTACATACAGTTAAAGGACATATGGCAGTTTTTGTACTCTTTACATATTTCTTGTTTACTTTTGCCATAGATATATAAAAATTTCTTTATTAACAATAACAATATAAGAAGGCTATTTGCATTTTGATAAAAATAAAAATGAAAGTATCCCAGAAAACCACTAAGCCATCAGCACCTTATTAAAATTTAATTTAGGAAGTTTTTTAAGTCAAGGTTAAAGTGCCCTAAGGAATGAGACCCAGATCCAGCATAGTTTAAAAGGCATAGAGTTTTAAAGGGAAAAGAGTTAAAGGCAGACTAGGCAAAGAAGTCTCCAGCTATGTATTAATCAGCTAAGGGACATGTCTGTGTTGTCCTGGGAGGATTTCACTGGAGAAAAATCAATAGGCAATGGAAGTCGTCTGTGGTCTTCAGATCCAAGAGAAACCAAAAGGGTGAAGGCTCAGAGTCTGTAAGGACTCAGTAGATCTTTACACTACCACAATTCCTGCTTTCGATATTATAGAAGAAAATACTTCCTGACCAATGATATTCAATTTTTGCCTTATAGCAGGCCCAGGATCCAATGCCAGTTAATGTTTTCAAATATATGTTTAAGATTTAAATTGTTTCCTTTATACTTCAAAAAGACTGAAAAGGAGAATAAGACATATTAAACCACTTACCTCAATGGGTAGACATGTCTGTACACAGGCAGATGTTCCCGAATGTGACATCAGAGTCTCGGGTTTAATTTGAAAGTGTGTTTTGCACATGTAGCCTTCAGAAGAGTCCTGTGTTGCATCACCAAAGAATACATAAGAAAATGCCAATTATTTTAAGAATTCATCATTTTAAGCACTATAGTTTTCCATAAGTTTCAAACTGAGCAATAAAAAACTAAATACATTCAAAGAAATGAGATAATATGGATAAAGAAATTCATCCAATAAACCCTGGACATAGTAGCTACTCATTGAATAGAAGTTTTAATCCTCTACCATTCTCACTTATTAATGATGTTTCCCCCTTCTCTTAGATCTCCCTGCTCCTTCCTAAGCAGTCCATAGCACAATATGGACTATATAAGTCTATATAAGTCATAGAGCAAAACTTCTGGTTGGCAGCTGTTAAAAAGCATTTAAACTTAAAGAAATATTTCATCACATATTAATATTGATTTCATGGCCTATATAAAAAGAGAAATTTAAGGAGAACTTGCAACAGATCTTGAAGTTAGAAGGGACCTTCCATTTTGACTTCTTGTTTAAGACAAGATCTCCATTAAACGTCACAGGGAAATAATTATGCAGCACTTGCCTGAGCACTTCCAGGAACCCACGCTTTACTCCCTTACATGACTACCGCCTCCATTTTCATACATAGTACATTGTTCATTGATAAAGTATTATACTGCACTGAAATGTTTATCTTTAACCTTAACTCAATGGTTTCAATTCTGCTCTCCAGAGTCTAAACTCTTTTCTACAAAGCCATTCATTCTTTAAAACCTTGATGACAATACCACCATTTTCAAATGTTCCATGGGGAAGATGGGACTTCCAAGCCCTTTACCAATTTGTACTGCTAGCCTCTTTCTTATATTTGCTCTTAAATACAGTAATGGATAATGTTTATCTAATTGTGGTCAGTTCCATTTTTTTAAGCAAAATTTGGTTGAATTCAATAAGGTCCTGTATATGGGGCGCCTGGGTGGCTCAGTCGGTTGAGCGTCCGACTTCGGCTCAGGTCATGATCTCGCGGTCTGTGAGTTCAAGCCCCGCCTTGGGCTCTGTGCTGACAGCTCAGAGCCTGGAGCCTGCTTCGCATTCTGTGTCTCCCTCTCTCTCTGCCCCTCCCCTGCCAATGCTCTGTCTCTCTCTGTCTCAAAAATAAATAAACATTTAAAAAAATTAAAAAAAAAAGGTCCTGTATAAAAATGTTAACACCTCATGTACAAACATACCTACATATCAATGAATATTATTAATTCTCCACCAAACTATCATACTAACATTCACATTTTAACAGAAATAGTTATAAGTAATGAAGATGAGATTACTGATTCTGACGCAGCAGTTAAAATACAGAATAGCATTCCAACTAAAACAATTCATAATTCACTTAAATACTTTTACTAAGATTCAAAAATCCAGTTTTTATCTATAAAATAAGAAAAGAAAAATTTTATAGTACATTTTAATATTGCTTTTTTTTTTTAATTTTGTGTCATGCCAACAATGTAAGAGCATTGGATTTTAGGTACCTGAGCTAGTTTGAATAATGTCCCTTCTAAATTCATGTCCACCTAGAACCTGTAAATGTGACTTTATTTGGGAAACAGGGTCTATGCAAATGTAATAAAGTTAAGAGGAGGTCATACTGGAATAGGGTAGACCTGAATCCAATGCAACTGGCATCCTTACAAGAAGAGGGAAATTTGGTTACAGACACACAGATACACAGTGGAGAAGGCCACAGAAAAACACAGGCAAAAACTGAAGTGGTGCATCTACAAACCAAAGAATGCCAACAGTTGCCACCAATCATCAGAAGCAAGAAGAGGCAAGGAAAGATTTTTCTCTAGAACTTTTAGAGGGAGTGTTGCCCTGCCGACATACTGCTTTTCAACTCCCAACCTCCAGAACCATAAGAGAATGTACTTGTTTTAAACCATTCAGTTCATAGTACTTTCTTATGGTAGCCCTAGGAAACTAATACAGGAACTATATTTTCTGAGAAATCTGGCGGCACCTTTACAATGCCTCCCAGTTGCCTGGGCTAACACTTTACCAGCACTCACAAAAGAATGCTGCTGTTTGGTCCTGATCAGCACCAGTTCTAATTGGCTGGATCCAACTTATTATGATTGGTTGATACCACTGCCACAGGTTGTTAAACATTTTGAATATCATTCTTCCCTGTAAAGTAAGCTATTAGGTATCCAATATAATCACCTTTTATTATTTCATTCAAGTTATACATTTTGTAGAATTAATCATTTTTTTTAATTCTAGTTCTGCATCATCTAAACGCAAAGTACTTCCCCGATGTCCTTCTACCACTGAAATCTCTACATTTAGACAACATAAATGACATTTAATATTGGTTTAAATTGAGAAAGATATATGTAGTGAGTGTAGTTGTTGTTGCTGCTTTTTACATCAGGTATTTATTGCCCCATCTTCTGGAAGAGTAGTCAATTATCTTCTATGGAAGCATTCCCTACTTCCCTGTCAGTGTGGACATGGCCTCCCAACTATGAGAATGATCAAAGAACTCTGATCTGGCCAATAAGGACATCAGTCCTGCTGACCTCAGAAACTCAGACAGGCAGTCTACTCAGGGCCAATGAAAACAGTTCAGGACTTCAGTTAGGGGACAGGGAACGGTATTCTCTTTTCGACTGGATTTCAACCAGGAAGACAGGCAGCCTTGGCAGTGCTGGCAGCCATCAAGTAATTAAATGGAGCCTGAGAATGAAGCCAATGCAGAGGAAAGCAAAGCCATGAGATGCAGAAAGACCAGATCCTGATTACACTATTTACACCACCCATACTTAAAGTTAGTTCTACCCTCAAATTTTGCAATTACCCGGCTTCAAAAAGCCCCTCCTTGGCTTCACCCAACTTGGATTGGGCTTTCTGTCACTTGCAACTAAAATAGTCTTTCTATAAAATGACCTATATTGTGTTTATTATGTTAAAACTAGATGAGTTTTCCTGCTGTTGAGAATGGGCCTCCGATAACCACAGAAAGAGGCTCCTAAATCATGAAATAGTTTGACTTGAATGACTAAACTAGATGGTTTTCTACTGTATTGTATGATCACCCTCATTATACTAGATAATCAATAGTTGATTATATAAAAGATTTACCAAATACAGTAAAACCATAATGATACGTGTTTGTGAGACAGAAAGTACTGGCAGTCTGCAATTTAAAAATAATCTAGCTATAGAGGGAACAAAAAAAAAACCCTTTAGACATTCAGAGAAGAGTTAGAACTGAACTGTGTGTACTGAATCTGATTCATCAAATGAAGGTAACTATTCTGTTTCATTAGGGCTGATCATACAACCTCTTCTTATGGCAAATTCTAATACAAGGCAAAATACATCTCCTTTGACACCAAGAGGTTAAGTCAAAAATTCCTATACACCTGTGTTATAAAATCTAAATGTATTATCTGATCTCTTAGCCAATGAATTAAGATAGAGAGATGTGTCATTTTTAATATTACTTGTAATTTAAGGGATGTTGTTTCTATTGTGGGTACTTTCTGATATTACTTATTGGTGTCTATAAGGAGATACATGGGATTTTTGACACAGCCTATATATACGGTAAATTTCTTTTCAGTATCAATCTCTTAACAGTCAACATTAGCCTTGAAAAATTAAATATAGAAAAAAACAGTTTATAGAATATTAGCTTCCTTTCAAACATTTACTTTCATAGAAGTAAATGTTCTCCTATGCTGTTTTAAGGCAGAAAAGTATGTTCTCCTCTTCACTGTTGAAGGTTGCTTTTGTAGAGACAAGCAAACATAAAAGCATGAGGAACTGCCCCCTGAGCTAGTACTACAGTCTGTCTGGCCCAATAAATGATAATTAACTCAAATCTCAACTGACTTTCCTAGTAGACACTCAACTCTAGCTTCCTTGCATTCGTTCTGTAGTTATGATAGCTTACAATTCAATGTCGTTTTCTTTAATTTTTTAACATGTGTTAGTTTTATTTTCCCTAAGCAATCCAAAGTTAAGACTAGGCCCAGCCCCTGGGGAAGAAAGGGTCCTAACTACAGAGTCTGCTTGCACATAAAACACTGGTTCCTTGTCTCCACGGAGTCTGAAAACACTCTGGACCAGAACAGGAGAAGGCAGGAACAAAGGAAACCTTGCAGTTTATCCAACTCAACCCTATCGTGTTAGAGATTAGAGGATGAAGGACTTAAGTACTTTTAAGAGATCTGTCTTACAACTAATTGGGGGAGCCACTGGAACTGGAAAACAGGCCATATGACCCCAGTGCTCTCCATACCACACTAAGCAATTCTGCCAGAGATCAGCATCATGGTAGAAACATGCTTACTGACTGTTGTGGAGTGGTGAAAGCCCAAACTTTGCACACTGAGTAACAAGCTGAAGCACTCAAGGGTGATCTGGGAACCAGGAGCCTCCTTGTCATCTGGGAGCTTGTTAGACACACAGAATCTCAAGCTTTGCTCGGGAACCTCTGAATCAGAATCTGTATGTAACAGGATCCCAGATAATTTGTGTGCACTTTTGGAGGCACTGAGGCAACATGTACTGCAATCCCTGATTCAAAGGGATTGCAGACTGATTACATTAAACAATGGTTCTCAACCTTAGCTGGGGTTCCCAGTCACAACTTTCCTGTAGTCTGTAATGCAGCATCCAGGATTGAGAATTACTTCACTTAATTCATTCAAGTTCCCATTTGGAACTCTAAGAACAGAGTCAACCAAGTAATCTGTAGCTGTCTCAAGGGAAATGGCCACAAACAACTCCCAACCTTTAGGAATAGTATGCTCACTTGGAGCTCTCCATATACTAAACTGGCCTCTGCGAACACTCATCTTGAGCTGTGACAGTGCTGAGACTGCTTTTTAAGTGGTCTTTACTACTACCTCAAACCTTACTTTCTGGCAATTTTCCCAGCCTTAACCTAGGCCTCTGTAACTGCCATTAATCTCATAACTTAAAACTGTCACTGTCCTGTATCTAACTACACTTCAGCCATCAGAACTCCGTGCTGCCCATCTGCCACA